TGCTAAATTATTCTAATGTTATTCATTGATACTTATTCATCAAGCATTCGATATTTCAAATCTCAAATATATTAAATTAAACTAAGCTTGATATGTACTTGTAAATTTCATAACTGAAGATGTCATAATCCAATTAACCAATATGCATATAAAAGGATTTTTTATCCGTTAGATCTTATCAATTATAGAATATAAATCACAATATTTATATAATGTAATTATAAAAATAAAAAATTGTTTATGTATATCACATAACATTATTAAACACTATTATACTTTATTGGGTTTAATATATTTTTTAACACTTATTTTCATTATAATATTACTAAAACTATTTTATGCTTTGCATTGAACATAAAATTTTGACAAAGAAATAAGCAAATTATGTTCAATCAAAGATATTGAAATCGAAAAATTTAGTTTTTATATTTATCGTTACTCAAGTAATTATAAAAATTATATAAATTAAGTTTTCAAGGAATATTTCTATATATTTAATATATTCTAATTAATTAATTTTTTTTTCTATAGATTATAATGATATAATAGTATATTTAACATTTTACAATGTTACATTAATACAAGAATATTTAAATTTATTGACAAAGCTATTGTTTTGCTTCACGCTCAACTACTATTCGCCTTTCTAACAATATTTACTGCTCTTTCCATAGTATATAATCTGAAAAGTGTTTCCTATTTAAAATGTTTCGAAAAATGTAAAAGCGTAGCAAAAGATAAACACACTAAACAGATACCTTTAATATTTTGTTATTAATAAATAATTTTATAATAAACTAGTTGAAGTATTAACGTAACTAAAAACGAAATTAAAAAATTAATTGAAGCGAGAACTTGATCGATGATATTAAAGAAACAAGGAAATGAAATGAAAATTTCTTACTGTTCATTACATACATACGTACATATGTACACACATGCGCGTGCGCATTTATACATACAGATACTTAATGTGATTAAAAGAAAGTTTGTTGGTAACAAGATGATAGTGTAGCAATTATATATATATACATGTATAATGGATTACAATGTAGTATGTTGGTTCGAAGATAATACAAAGATTAACTAACTTATATAAGCCGTAGTTAAATGTGCGGGTAGTCTCGAGCTCTTCGGGTTCAAAGCATCATCAGTTTCAATACAATGGCGACAATATCAACGAGCTTCTCCTCCTCTTCCAATTTATATTTTTTCTTTATGTACAATACGGTGTATACGCGATGCTGGTGTAGCCGAGGAAGAAAAAAAATCAAATGCGTATTACATCCCTCTGCCTACTGCCGCCCTCTTTTACTCTTAACAGTTTGCAGCGAGATGAATGTCAGTCACGACGGCCAACCGGGAATCGCTCGGCCGACGTGTAAATGACGTAACCGCAGCCAAGCATAAGTGGCCGAGAGTATTAAATATACAAACGCACATTGGCAAGAGTAACACGTGCGAAGTGCAATGCAGTACCAAGTCTCGCGGTTCTGTATTTAGACTCATTATTTACAATTAGAATTTATTTTAATATTTGGCATCTTTATACGCCCTAAATTTTCGGAACTTTGTTTTCTTATTTCATATGCCTTTTCTTTTTATAATTTGACCCTATAAGGTAGACAATTGATTATGTGCATTTCTTTATAAACTCTTTTACACGTAGTAAATTATTTTATATCTACTATAAAATGTATGAAAATTCAGGAATAAAATCGTTATATTAGTACTTTTATTATTTTTCAGTTCGTAAACAAATGATGTTAGAAATTTAGCAATGAAACTTTAAATAAGAAAATATACAATAATTTTATTCGTCATTTATTCACCAATTGAAACATTAATTGTCTTTTTTGTGATAATTAAGTTCCATTTAAATTATTCTGCAATAGATGGGATGAAGAGGTATGAAATAAAAAGTATATTACATAAAAAAAAAACATTTGAATTTTTATCATATTTTATAAAAAAAAACTTAGGATCAAAAGTAAATTTTTTTTACAATTTTATATTTATTTCTTAATTTTTCTATTATTTTATGTAAATTTAAATGTACTAAAATGGATAATAGGAAAAATTGGCGATTAATGATAATAAATGAGAAAATATAAGTAAATAATGAAACACTATTTAGGTATTAGAAATTGAGGCATAACATTTAAATGTTCAGCTACAACAATAGTTTGAATGACCAAAAATTAAAATTAAAATAGCATTGACCCTAAATAATATCGAGACAGCCTATAAATGAGCCAGAGCACGTATATATTGCTTCATATTGCCTGAGTTATAAAAAGTCACGATTTATTTATGAATTGTTTTTATGGACCGAAAAATCACTTTGTAAATTTATTATATTTTAGAAGTAAATTGCTTATGATATTGATAAAATAATTATAAAAATTTAAACAATGTTTAAAATTGTAGTATGTTTATATTTAAGTACTGGAGTAGAGTATGTCGAGGAAAACGGCCCTTTTTATTTTAATACCAATTCCAAAAATATTTTTCATCTCAACGATAAAATGAACGTCATTAACACATATATAGGCACATAAATTAATGTATAGAAAGCTATTGACAAACTCATTTTTATAAAAAATGTGAGCTCTTTCGAAAAGGAGAGTCACGAAAGAAATGTCCATCGGGTCCATCGACATCTCTATTGATATTGCTTGAAAGTAATATTTCTTTTTAACATGATACTCTGTCCTTAATCGATATATAATATCGATATATTATGAATAAATTGAGTTTGTGTGTATTGTATATATTTTGAATAGTCATACAGATTCAGATGAACATACTTTGTAGGACAGTTGGACATGTTTAACGTTCTTTCTTTAATTGCTGTTGAGGTTATATTTGTTCCTATTTCGAAGCAAGATTTCAGATCTTGTCCTTAAATAAACAATAAATTATTTCTGAAAGAAAGCCTTCCACCAACTTTTATCATTAATTTCTGATAAATTTGACTCTCCGTAAATTATAAAAATGAAAGATAAATTTAAATAAAGTACATGTATGCAAACTTAGGCGTTTTTTAAACGTCTCTATGATAATTTTATTAAATAGTACTTTAATTTCTTTTTATTTTAATGTGTATGGCTATTATAGTGATAGAATTTTATATAAAGTGCATTGAAGATGTTGAAGTATTCTTACTCTGCACAATTGCAAAAAAGTGTTACGCTCCGAAAGCCCTTATTACTCTCAAATTAAGATTAATTTTTTAGCGATTTACTTATAACGACATTTTTAATAAATAAAAATTTATTTTTTATCTCCGGATTCTTCTTAAAGGAGTTTTTTTGTAAGAAATACTAATCGAAGTACGATTAAATAATATAAGACGTATATTAGCTTCTGGAATTATTTTATTTGCTATATATGTTACGATGAACCTAATACGATTATGAGTACAGTGAGGTTATATTAAAAATACAAAATATACTGGAATGAAAATGCAATTTAATTTTTATTGTTTAATATATGCCTTACGCTAAACCACGAATCTTTAAATTAATTTATAAATCATTGTAGTTTGTAATTATGAAAATGTTATAATATATTCAGGTAAAATAAAATTTTTATTACAACTGAATGTATGATTACTAAAATATTCTATTTAAATCTTTTATTATTCATTTTTTAACGTATTATATAAAAATGTTTAATTTTATTCTCATTATTTGAACTTCATTATAAGCATTTGTTTTTTCAGTCTTACGCACGTGACAAAGTACAGCCAAAATGTTTACCACCTCATACAACACTTCAAAGACACGTCAAAGCAAACAGAAATGTGCATATACCAAGGTGAATTATACATTTTGTAACTATACCGGAGCATTGTTATATCTTACATATTTTTATATATCATTTTTTTCTTCATATAATAAAAAATATGCCTAACGTAATTTTAATCGATGGTTCAATTAATGTTATGTTCAAGGTTCTATTTTCCTGGTGGGAAACCAACATCTCTGTCGCAGGTCGAAGCTACAATCTCCCGCATAACTGCCGCCTTCCACAGTCTTCCAGATCATCGAGCTTCGCGTTCTCAATTTCATACTATTACAAAGGTATTATTACAACAGACAGAGGTAACGTTTGATATTTCATTTTCTTCATGTATTAATACTCTTACTGATAAAAATGCAAAACGTATATATTATCGCGTACATTTGTGAAAGTGCAAAATAAAAATGAGGATTAATTAATTATTTTTTAATTTCGTATAATACAACACATTAGTTTGAAGTAAAATTTCAATACAATAAATCTAAGGCCATTTTTATTTAATGAATTATTAATCGATTGTTTTTATAAATATTTTTATTCATACGTATATATACATATATTTCCAGTAATATATGATTATTTCTAAATCAAATATTTCTTTGTAGGCATGCGATTTACCACTGTACTGGAAGGTTCCACTTTTTCTAGCTTCAGGAGGCGATACAAATGGAATAATCGAAATGAACGAATTTCTTGACTTGAGATATTTATTTTAATTTACATTAAAAAAAAATCAAATATAGTAACTTTTTGTTGAAACAAAAACAATACTATCGGTATAGATTTATGTAGTTGTTTTATAATGGAATTCTTGGTTCATTGATGTTGTAAAATCGATTTAAAAAGTACTTTATATATACGAATGATTTTAGCATTGTTTCTTTCAAAATCAACATAATTCAGAGGAAATTGTTAATAATTTCGTATTATAAATTTGATTGGCATTAAGGCTGCTACCACTTAAAAAATTTCTCATAATTTAATTTAGATGCTATGTAGCAATATATAATAATATTCTATAACAACGAAGGTACGAACAAAAACACTATTATTGTAATATAATTAAGTAAAATTACAATTAAGTTACATATAAAATTATAGTGCAAGTGTTAGACTGTTTTGCCCGATTAAAAAAAGTGCCCTGAGAATTTTTTCATTAAGGTGCGAATACACGTCAGTTAACCAATGGAATAATGATATGGCACTTATGTGATTGACAAGTAGTTGTATACTAAGTTATATTATCTCTATGTGCAGATTAGTTAGTGTTTATCATGACCAGGCAAGCAAATTCGTGAGGATCGTGACACGTGAATTGAGGACGAGTCTTCTTCCCGAGGACTTAATTCCGCTGGTACAGGACGTGGTCGAAACGCATCCCGGCCTAACATTCCTTAAAGAGGCAACCGAATTTCACTCGCGCTACGTTCACACGGTAGGTGGCCTGTAGCCACAGCCCCAGCTCCAGCCTCCCCCGTCGACCCCGAGACACGAGTGTGTTAAGCGGCGCCTTCTAAGAAAATCAATAACTCGAGTTTCGCCCAACCCATGGCCGGACGCATGAGTGGCGGTCGTGCATAACACACTCTCCTCTCAAACTCGCAGCGCCTCATCGATGATCAGCCGTCACTTATCCTTTCCCTTCGATGAGTATCCGCTTTTCCCTCTACTAGTCTACCTCTACCACACTGCTTTATCACAAAATTTTAGAACAAAAAGCACTTGCAATTGGCTCAGATTTTAAGAATGCGCACGATCGTACAAACGTTTCTTCACGTCGACATTTTTTCTAAATTAGAATTGTTGATGACTATCGTCAGAATTTCAATAGTTCCTTGCGTGTAGAGTGGCTTCAAATTTTATTGAAAAATGCCTTGATATTTTTAAAAATATTATATTTTTCGTTTTACCGCCTTTATCTCAGCAAAATATACATATTTGTACGATTACTAATATATTGTTTCGATTAACAATGTGCAATTAATAATCTAATAATTCTTACTAAATTTTATTAGATTTCCTTTGTGTAGCATAATGAAAACTGTGGTTAGAAAATATCGAATAATATATCTAAATATTCAAAAACAAGTGCTTGAATGACAATCGGTATACAGATGTTTATTTTTTATTACATTTCTATTTCTATTATCTCTCTTTAGTATACTAATGCTTATAATATTTTTAGGAGACAGTATCTGTGAAACATTTAAATATATCTATAATGACATCGAAAGAATATTACTATACTAATTAGAAAAGAGAACAAAAGATACAATAAAATTTATAATTACTAAACGAAGGCGATAACTAACGAGTCGAGTACTTTGGTTTTTATTTCAAAATCATGAATATGTAATATTTGTATAAAGTCAAACCTTTTGAATGTAAATACTGCTTTGTAGTTGATAATTACTTTGTGCCTGGCTAATGTTCAATTTATCTATTTGTTTATGCTTGTTCACCATAAATGTGTTCACTTTTGTTGAAAATAAATCAGCCGACTTTATTCAACAATTCAAACAAATTCATATTTGCAATTATTTTATCAAAAATTCATTTATAATACATTCGTCAATAATTATTATTTATTTATAATAAAGAAGCAATATCAATAAATTCATTGTATAATTTTTTTCAACATTTTTAATATTTTGTCCAAAAATTTTCTTTAACCGATAATAAGTTTTAAAAATTAGTAAAATTTCTAATTTTTTTTCAATTACATATATTGAAAAATTACATTGTTCTTATTTGTAATAACAAGTGATCTAATTTAATTTATATTATATGATCATTTAAATTAAATTTTTCATGAATCATATAAATTTGTATAAGAAAATTTGAATAAAACAAATGGTTAAAATATTTTCAGCTACAAATTTACACAAAATCAAAATAATTATTTTAATTAATCGAATTTACAATTAAGATAACTTTATAGAAATTAATGTTCACCTATTTTATAAATTTAAATTCTTTTTAAACAACATTAGAATTATGCTCCAAGTATATTCGGACTCTACAAATAATTACTGAGTTTCAATAATTATAATGTGCATTTTATGTACAATAATATGTCAAAAAGTAGAGGAAATTATTTATAATATTTAAACATTTTAATAAATTATAAATGTAAATTTAATATAATTTCGATGTTTGATTTTGGGTTGTATAATTTTGAGTGCAAAAAATCATCAATATAAAAAACTCTAAAAGTTACATTTATTTCAATAAATTAATCATAATAATAGCCCAAAATCTATTTAATGTTATTTCATTTATTTTAATGAATAATTAATGAATAGAGGTTTCATAAAGATAATATCAGTTAATATTATAAGTATTACTAAAAAATGATAACTCAATATAATATGCAGGTAATTGCCAGGATATTTTACTGCGTTAATCGCAGTTGGAGCGGCAAGATATCCCCGGCAGAATTAAGGCGGAGTAATTTGCTCTCGGCAATTGGTGTTTTGGAACATGAGGAGGACATCAATCAAGTAACAGCTTATTTCAGCTATGAGCATTTCTACGTGATTTACTGTAAGTTCTGGGAACTCGACCGTGACCATGATCTTTTCATCGATAAAATGGATCTAACCAGACACAACGATCACGGTAAATTAAGAACTATTATTTTTGTTATATTATCTTAAAAATTTTATACATTACATCTCCGTAAGTGCGATAACTACGGTTTAAAATAAACCTATAGGACGCTAATAATTTAATGAAATGCATATTTATATTAGATTTTGTCATGTTTAGCTTTATCAACACGAATGATTGAGCGGATCTTTAGTGGAGCAGTAACGCGAGGTGTAAAGAGTGCCAACGGAGTACAACAGCCTGAAGACAAAATGAGTTACACAGAATTCGTTTGGTTTTTACTCAGTGAAGAAGACAAAAACCATCCTACTGCAGTCGAATATTGGTTCAGGTACATTTAAACAGAATTTAATCTAATTTTCTCCATTCTACATGTTTTAGGTAATTATTGAATTAAATTTTTGAGTTTCTATTATAACTTTGTAATGTTTCTAATTTTCACGATTCAGTTATTGTATTTTAAAGTAAATGCTATATTAAATTTCAGTATAACTTTGCATAATTTGTACTTTTATATTAATTATTTATTTTATATTTATTTTATTTTAATACACTATATACATAGCACGTTGAACTGTAGATATAAATGTATACATAAATCTAATTTAATAAAACATCATTTTTTTAAATATAATTTTTTAATATTATAATATTTAAATTGGTAAAATAATCAATAGTAAATCTTTTTATATTTAATAATAAAACAGATGTATGGATTTGGATGGAGATGGATACTTATCCATGTATGAATTAGAATATTTTTATGAAGAACAACTACATCGTATGGAAGCAATTGGAATAGAAACACTTCCTTTCGAAGATTGCCTCTGTCAGGTATACAAATATAGTTTGTATAAATGAAAAGACTTAAAATTAATATTTTTGCCTTTTACCCTAATCAATTAAGATTCACTAGTAAACCTTAGTTAATGATATGGATTACGACATAATATCAATAAAGTATTGATAACTGGTTAATTTTAACCTTTAATTTTTAAAGAAATTTCTTAATAAATATTTGTGATTATAATCACTTTTAATATATACTTAAGAGTGTAATATTAGAATAAAATTGTTGCACTAGAATTAATATTTGTAAGTTTCATTGTCGATTGATTTTCTTTAATGTAATAACAAATTTAAAGCTCTTTATTAGATTTTTGGAATCAAAGAAATATTTAAAGAGTATTTTTAAAGGCAATATTTATGTTATTTGAAATATATGTATCAAAGTTTTGTTTATAAAAGTACATATTTGTTTTTAAAGGCTTATAATGTTTCCCTTTTATTATTTAAATTATTTTAAGCATTATATAAATAAATTATTTAATTTACTACATCTTAATTGTTATATTTAAATACAAATGTTAAACAATAGGTATATATAGATATTTGTATATCTTGAATGTAAATTATTACAGATGTTAGATATGATCCATCCCGGAATTCCAGGAAAAATATCTCTGAGTGATTTAAAAAAGTGTAAAATGACATCAATTTTTTTTGATACTTTCTTCAACTTAGAAAAATATTTGGATCACGAACAAAGGGATCCATTTGCATCAGCTAGAGATCATGACGCAGATGGTCATGAAGTACGTAATGTTGAATTTCTATAACCTATTTAGTACAACGTATTAAAATTTTTTATAATATAAATAACAAAAATATGTATAAAAAATAAAAATACATTAATTATTAAAATATCAATACATACACATGGATGAATAAATAATCTTAAATTAATTTTAATACAAGTAAAAATTCGGTGTTTAAATTGGTAATTATTTGAATAAAACATTTTTCATATTATCATAAATATATGATTGTAATATATTTTATGTTTAATAGCTTTCGGATTGGGATCGCTTTGCAGCTGAAGAGTATGAACTTTTAGTAGCTGAAGAAAGTGGCAATGAACAAAATGATCAATTGTGAGTATTTATTATTCAAACTTTATTATTTCTCATATACAGGACATTGATTACATTTTTTTAATTCAAATAAATTATATTTATTTTCAATATGTGTTAAATTTTTTATTGTATAGTACACATTGCATCAAATTTTCAAGCAATTAATTTTCAACATTAGTTCTTACTGTCTAAAATTGAGTACTTTTTAATACTCAAATTTGAACGTAATAATTATAAAAAAAAATAATTTTAACGTCAATAAAATATATTTTATTTTTTGTTTGATATTACTAACATGATTTACATAATCAGCACGTTATTTTTGTCTTGAAATTTTATGAATTTAGTTTGAAAAATTTATTCATAAATTCTTAAATCTTAATTAAATTAAAAATCAAAGGTATAAAATAAACATTTTTACTTGTAGTTTTACTACATCTTAATATGTATTTTTCACTATGAATATGTTATAAAATCCAATTAAATATTTCTTCATTTTTCTCACTATTAATAATTTCATTATTCAATATTTTGTTCATCATTTATATGTAAGAATTCATTATAATACATTGGGTATTTGTTACAGGCTGTGTGATGATGAAATGTAACCATCATCTACAGCTCAGTAAGTAAATCTGAGAGTACTGCATGTAAATATTTTAATACCTTTAAAAATTTTATGCTAAATTTTCCTCTTTGATATTTATTTTTGCATGATATAGTTTTAATTTAATTAAATTAAATATAATTGTAAATTAAATATGTTTGTATTATTCAAACAATTTTAATAAATTAGTAGAATTTAAGTATATTATTCATATAGTTTTAATTAAACAAGTCATCAAATTCTATCTTTGTTCTGTTTATAAAAATTAATTCTATAATTTTTTAATTCAAATTTATTTTAAATTTTTTAAAATTGTGTATGATTTGTTTGTTGAAACATTGTTTCAATTCATCTGTATGTAATATTTTTGTTATAATATTTGTTACTTAAGAATATTTGCATGTATTTTTTTATATAAACAAAAGTATTGCAGTGAATGAGAATGTATGATGAAAAAATTAAATTACTATGTAAGTCATTATATTATCATAAATGTTTTACAACATAAAATATCTAAATAGTATCTAAAAATATAGTAAGCAATATTTAGGAAATATTAACTTTCCTAATGACTAAATTACAAACAATTATGAATAATACTGTCAAACTTCTACTTAAGTTGTTACTATCAATTCTATTTTCCATAGAAAGGTAATACTAAAAATAATCAAAGAGTTGTTCATATATTGCCAACTGAATATTATTATTGATATATATTTATATTTATTTATTAATCAGCAAAGTATATATTACAATTGATTTTCAAAATTTTATTTCCTATATGATAAATAAAAAAATCTGTAAGAAATTTAATTTATTCTAAAAATTAATTTAACTGGAATTTTTATTTTTCTTTTACTTTTTAAAAATAGAATCAAACACCCATTGTTTTTCAATCATCTAAAAATTTATGATAATTATAGTGGTCAAATTTTTAAATGTCTATTTCATAGTAATTTGCTTTAATAAGGAAAAAATATTCTTCTTATTTTCATTGAAATACAATCGAACGAACTTTACAGGCTTTATGATTCCGCTACGGAAGACGCATACTCGCCAAACTTGGACGTATTAATCGGTGAATCCGTGGATACAGTATCCCAGGTTGAGCAAGTTAGTGCAGTTGGATACCTAGATGATGTCTCTTCACCGTCCAAGCGCGCCAAGAATTCGCACTATGATAGCTGTGATAGCGATGATTATGCTGATAGTGACAACTGATGACTGTTGTCAAGGAAGGATGGAAGACAAATGTTATATAAGTAATACAAAGCCAAGAGTTACCTTCCTAAATAGACTGGAAAACTTGTAAATAGTGCGAGAGTTATTATAACAGATCCTTTTAATTTTATCTTTAGAAAGAGCGCATCAAAGAGAGAGAGAGAGAGAGAGAGAGAGAGAATAACAAAAATGATAAATAATTTGAATTTGAGAAAAATAGACCGCCTTTAACAGGTTCATCACCTGTCCAACATCATTTTTTCTTAATTTTGTCGAAAATTATTATACTAACAGATCAAATGGTAACGCTGATGTGAAGCATTTGAACTATCGAAAACATCCCAAAAATTAAAAAATTAGATCTCTAAATTTTTTATATGCTAATTCCATAGAATTTAATTTTATTCGTAACATAATTATTATAAAAATATCTTATTATATTTCTATTACATAAATTGCGAATAAAACGTAATTGGTAATGCATCGATTTTCATAATAAATTTCATTATAGATTCTGTTTTTATTGTATACATTTTTAATTATTTTAATTTCATTTAGGATGATGTCTTCCAAATAAAATTAGACAGTTAAATACAAAAATTATTGTCAAACACAGCGAATGTCTAACTATGCATAATAATAATTTGATAAGTTAAAACATAAATTTCTTAGAAAGTTTTACATATTATAAAAATTATAGAATTGGTATTGCAGAGATGTTTTAGATGCGTTTTATGTTTAGTTACCTATTAAATATTTTATAAAGGAATTCCAAAAGCATAATAAGATTTGTCAAGAAAAACGAAATTAATGTTGAAAAATTTACACATTTTATAGATATTTTTTAAAAAGAATTTTATAGATGAACAAGAATATTAACTTTAAAAATTTGTTGTTTTTTTTTATTTAATGAAATTTAATGAATCCTGTGAATATTATGAACAATTCATAACATGAAAATTTATGAATTTTTTCGAGAAACATGGTGTACTGCATAATGTATGAATGAAAGTTTCATTTAGCAAGTTATTCTGAACATGAAAATTTAAGAAAATAAAAAAAAATAAATGAACAAGTATTTATATACCAGTATGTAGAAGAGTCAACTATTTGTAATAAATAAACATGTCCTTTTATAACAAATTATGTAGTAATAAGATGTAATCATTCATTAGCGACGTATTTTAGATGCTTTTAGTTTTCTAAAAGGAAAACATATTGCCAAAAGTCTAAACTTTTTCAGGATCGGTATCACGTCATTTCAAAGTTTATAAGATTCTGATGTACGTTATGAAAGTTATTTTGATACTTAATTTAAATGTTATAAATTCATCCCATTTTATTATTTTTTCTGTTTGTTATATTATTGATGTATCATCAATATATCGCAAAAGATAAAAAATCGCAGACATATTGTAAGATTTTATGTGAATAATTGATTTTATAGTAAACTGGCACATTTTTTATAAATTACAAATAATAAAGAACCCAGATAATTGTATAATTAACTTAAAATTATCTTTAATCTGTTAGATGAATACATTTTATTAAATAAGAATTGGTAAAAGTTTCTTATAAGTTTTCTATTTTTAATTAAATTCAGTTGGAAAATAACTGTGTAAAAACAAAAAGCGTGATGTAATAAATTATACTAGATAATATAGATAGAATCTGCGACTCCTTGCCATACGAGACTAACTCTTCTTTTATTAATTGTGGTTTTTTTTGCTAAGACTGCTGGACTTGTATATAAATCTATCTTATTTTTATCCTCTTGATAGTATGTAGTTTTTAATGATACATATATACATACACGTATAAGATGACAAAACATAATTCTAGTCCAATGCGTGCTATTATGTAATTTTTGTTAATAATTACTAGAAAGGAAAACAATTTGTTTAAAATTTTTTTCTGATCAAAAATGTTAAAAAAGGAATGAAACGTTTAGCCATTTGAAAAAACTAATTCGAGAATATTGTATGATTAACATTGTACATGAATGAATATTGTTATGGGACAATAGACAACTGTATGCAAATTCTTGTGCCCAATTGAAATTATGATGAAGGAATTTCTTCAGAAAAATTAAATTAAAGTATCGACTTGCTATTTCATATAAAAAATATGTATTTGTAGATTCTGATAAAGAAGATTTTTATGTAGTATATTAAATAGCCTTGTAAAAGTATTAAATCATTAAAAAAATAAAATATTTTTTCATCTTTGCATATCATATTAATAGAAGGAAATTCTTTCATTGGAATTATATTTTGTTTTTATATTTCTTTGTTGCACCCCGGTGTGATTTCTATTTAAATGTTATCACAACCAATATGTAAAAAAAGTTAAAAAAAAATACATGAGAAAACTGTACGAGATTGATTTTTGTTAATAATCCAAAGATGTATTATCTTTAAGAAATGAAAATTAGAGTTTGTTATGGTTTTTTATAATATGTATATTCATTTGTTTTATTGAATTCTCCATGCAAGGTGACAGCTATTTGAGAAATTCTTTATGTAAGATCATATATATTACCAGTGCATTTGATATTTTCAATTGTTATATTTATTGATTACTATATATCATAGGTTTATTGTTGTTTGAGCGTCTTAGACACGAAAATTATTTGTAATTTTTTTGAAAGGAAAATTATTTGGTTTTTGCTTATATATGCTAAAAAATGCATTGCGAAAGAAGAATGATATTATGTCTTGAAAAATCTTTTTCAGATTACGCCATTTTAAGAAAAATATTTATATACTCGCGTTTCTATATTCAATTATAGATTTGCATAAGATATATTACGTACCTATTATTTATATACGTATATATGTATGGTTTAATTTTGAAATATATGTGTATATATACATATGTTTTGTTAGTTGTGCATGATTAGATAAATTATAGAAATATTTCTGAGTTAAAAAAGATTCTAGACGTGGAGAAACAAATATCCGTTGCGATTTTGCCATTTTTTATGTTGGATCAAGCACACTTTTCCTTCATCTATTAAATTAACTATCTAACTAATAAAAATGTGAATTTTTCATGAGACGAAATAATTTACAAAGTGAAATTAAATCAAATAATGATGCAAATACAATAATCTATATATCTTTTAGTTCATGAAATCAATGTTATACAGCCTTAAATTTTGAACATAACATTACGTCGAATGTACAAGGCATACCTCGACTATTTATCTTAATAAACGTTACGTAATCCATAATGAGTATAAATTATTTTCTGTTTGAATTAAATTTTCCTTTATACTTAGAACTATTAAGAGGTTACATAACTTAGTAAAATATATTGCTATATTTATCTGAAAAAATGATAACTTAATTGAATTTACTTTCAATTTTTATAAAGCATAATTATTTATAATACCAAGTATAAAATGTTTGAAACAATGAAACGGATGTAATTCTTTTATAATCTAGATATGTTACTATTATTTTATTCTAATATAATATAATTTGTCAATAAAATTTTTTTAGAGTGAATTTATTTATTTTAAATTATTGTGTAATTTTGAATATTAAACAAAGGTTGTGTGAATATTTTTAAATGGCAGCAATTATTAATACTATTATCAAACAAGTTTTTACAATTATGTATATTATGTATTTTTATCTATCCAATGTTATAAAATATCTCATTTCTATTATTTATATTTCGATAATAAAAATGATTATATGTCATAAACAATTAAATATAATTTAAAGCCACTACTACAATTATCCTCGAATAATTTATCAATAGTTAATTTCGGAGGTTTATCATATCTCATTCGGAGTTAATGCAAATAAAATGTAGAAAATTGAGAAAATATAATATAATACTTTTCATATTTTTTTAGTACTCATTCTTTAACACAAAAATGCAATCAAATATCCAACACTAATGCAAAAACATCAGTGAAATCTGTAAAACGTTTATAAAATAGTATTCAAAAAAAAAAATTTTCTATATTATTCCTCAATAAAATTCCAAAATTTTTAAATAATTCAATTAACAATTAGATGAAATAATAAATAATTCATTTTGCACACAAGCTCATATATATATATATACTATCAAGAAGTGAATTCGATCTAAATTCAAACAATTTTATACAAGAATTTATAGCAGTTATTTAAATAATTCTAAATTAATAATAATACCTGTGATTTTGAAATTCTCAAATCAATGGTTAGTAAATTTTTATATTTTAAATATATGAACAATTAAATTGTTTTAGTATTTTATTTAATATTTTTCTTCCAACTAATGAAATTATTTATAAACACATATTGTGTGTAATTGAAAGTAGTCAATTATAAATCATATTTTCATAAATTAACATGAAAATAATAATAACATATTATATGCACACTTTTATACACATAATTTGCATGGTTAGCATACTTGCCAAGTAGCATACTTGCTACATACTTGCTTCAGCATGTCCTAGTATGTGTTTTGAAAGCAGGTCGGTAAAGTAGAATATTAACGAAGAATAAGTATAGAATATAAAATAATGGAACTTTTAGTTATTATATTGAGATATATTTTCATATATTCTTTCATTTTAAATTTAATAAAGTGTATTTTATACATTTATCCTTATTAATAATTTTATCAAAATATATTAAATTATTTAGAAATTTTAAATAAAATTGTATTATTAGTAACAAATATATATTAATATTCAAAAAGCATCAATATAATAACGAATTTATATTAAGAATGCATTCGTTTTATAGTGATTTTTAGGATTAATGCAATATAATCAATTATGATTTCAAATTCAGCGCTAAAATGATTGTAACTGACTAATGCTAATTAACAAGTAAATACTGCGCAGATTCTAAATTCCATTCTAAAAGACAAAGAATGTGATGTCATAGACGCATTGTGATTTCAGCTGGAAAATAGCTTTCAGAAATTCTGTCGCTTTAGTTGCGTTGATATATTTTGTTGATTATCGGATTTTTCATAAACACTTTTTCGGATATGTGTAATTATTTAATGTTAATAAAAATGTATGTTTAATTAGTTTAAAAAGTTTTGTTTTAAAAATGGCACATACTGCAAAAAAGTTAAATGTTGGCACTTCATGTGAACAGCAAGTTGATTTAATAAAAACAGAAAAACTATTTGAACATAATATTTTAACCTATGATGTATTAAGAATCATTTTTCAGTATTTAAGTGCTAAAGATCTATTTAAAGTTGCTAGCACATGCAGGTAAGTAGAATTAATATTCACTTTAATATAAAAAAATAATTGATAATTATCGTACTATAGATCGTGGAGAGATGCTGCAAATAATGAGGCAACTAGTAGAAAAGCACCCGAATATGTTTTAAAAAATTTTCAAGTAATTGACAAAGAAAATTCAGAAGATGCATATAGTGCATCACTTCTAGGACAAGATTTGAGAGTAAAGCCCAGTCTTGGATTAATTTGTGCAAAAATTCAAGAAATAAATGAGTGGGCACCAGTGGGTGAGTAAATTAAAATTTTATCGAAAACATAGATAAATTTTATATATAAATATTTGAATTCCTAATTGAAAATGTAATAAAATGAAAACTATAATACAACAGATTTTATCAAATTAAAATAAAAACAAAACATTATGCTAACTATATACCAAATAATTACATGTTTTTTATGAGCATGTACAAATGTATTTTGTTTTTTATGCAAATATTATATATATAGATTATTTTATTTCTAAAAAAATATTAAGCTAATTATAATAATATAATTGACATTGATTTAATAAAATTTCATTTAATTACTTGATATACAGTATGCGAAGTTTGATAATTACTTATATATTTATTTATTTTTTAATAATATATTCATTATATTAATAATTCATATTATATTAGGCTGCTATTGTGACAATCTTCCATCCAACTGTAGTTCATTTATTCTTGGAGGATATGATATTGTATTAGATGATTCAAAAATTGATAATAAATGTGGAATGGCTGTATGTACTTTTATACCTGATATACCTAAACTCAATCTTAAAGTATTTCATGTCGATAAGCACAAATTTAAGGGAGTTAATAAAATGTATATAAAAACACATGCAGAAGTATTACTCAAGCAATTATTACCTTCCAAACATGAGAAATCTAAATGTATTATTATGTTAACAAATGAAGAAAGCAATCGTTTTACAAAACTTATGATCAAAGGTTTACAGGAAAGGTATATTTGTAATTAAATAAATAAACTTATATTAATTATAATATGAATTCTATTTTTTGTATGACAAATATTTAAATACAGATAAATTGATAGTATATATTTTTTTTTAGGTATAAACCAGGAACTCTTTCTCTTTGGGGTGGAGTATGTGTGGATTTAAAACTTTGTAATGCTTCTAAATCTTCGCATACGTGTTCTAAAACTATTCGTTGGACAGCAATTACTTTATCCAGTCCTTCATTACAAAGTTGGTCAACTGTTTTACTCCATTCATGTCGCAGTGAAGCACAAATAGAAGAAAATTTAGTAACTTTAAGAAAAAATATTAAGCTTCAAAGACACTCCCTTGGACTGATGTTTTCATGTTGTGTACGCAAACGTTGGAAAGAAATAGAAATAGCAATATTTAAAAAAGTATTTACTAAAGTACCTTTAATTGGTATTCATGGTGATGGTGAATATGGATTAAATACTTTAAGTAAAAGTAAGTTGTAAAATATTTATATTACAATTTTTTGATTCATTTTATCATTCCATGTGAAAACATATATTAATGTAAATTTATATTTTGTAATGTTAGTTGGAAGTATCATTTTAATTTTATTTCAGAACGTGAAAGTCAATTACAACACACGCATTCAACGATATTTATGATTTTAACATATCAGTAAATATTTTATGTAGTGCAATCATGGCTAACATAGCTATATTGAATTAACTTTTGTGATATGCTGTGATATGATCTTATGTGACATGAGTGACACATATTATGCCTAAATGGCGATAAATTCAACTAAAAACTAATGTGTTTAGCATATATACAAATTATATTACAAATGTATATTAGATAAAAAGAAATCACAAGGTATCAGGGACAGATGTATTAATTTATTTATGCACATGAATTGAATTAGATTGTATTTAAATTATATAAAGTATACTTATATAATTACATACATATACTCACTTATATACATATGCATATACATTATATAAAATAGTTATGACATGAAATAATACTTAATATATATAAGTTGAAAAAGTAAATTTTCCAAAACAAAATTTCCGTACATTCACAAATTTTTACATATGCACAAATAAAAGTACATAGCCAGTAAATAACATAATACAATTTCAAAATAATCTGTTATTAATTTACATTCAATGTAAGAAAAATTGAAAAATTAAAATTTAGTATAAAATTTGTATTGTAATGTGAATATTGATCTTTTTAATTTGATGTGGTTTTAAAATTTTAAATTACAGAAATTTATAAATAAGGGAACATTATTGTGATATATGGATGTACCAAAAATAAGTAATAAATAATAGGATTGATGTCTTTCAGAATTAAGTACGAAGTTTTTTTTATTTAAAGGTAGAATAGGTAAATGATGTAGTAAAATATCGAGTCAAAAAGTGAAATAAATTTTAACACAAAATAAAACATGTGGTAAATCGTGGTAACAAATTCAAAAATTAAAATTTTCCTCTTTAGGACATTAAAAATATTTAAATATTTTAGGTGATAACTGTAAAAAGGTTTATTGCAAGTAATTAATAATTGCAATTTATTTTGTGTAAGAACTGAAATTCTAATTTAATTCGTTTAAAATTTTATTAAATAAATATAGTATATATTATTTACTTCATTATTTTAATACTTTTGTTAAAAATTATTAGAAATTTTTATAATTAATGGAAATCAATTTTGGTTAAGTACAATGTATAAATAGTTGTGTTTTTATTTTTTAATTAAAAAAAATGTCTATTTTTAACATAATTTGAGATCTTGTTATATTTGCTAATTTAATAAAGTCTAAACAATTGTAGCCACTATAATATTGTGTATATTATTTTTATTTTTATTAAATCTTTTTCTTTTATTTCGAATGATTCTTATATCAAATTTTCATGAATAAATTTCTACATTATCTTATAAATTTTTTGAAAATGATTAGCATATGTAATTATAAATATGTTTTAACAAAAGAAAAAAGAATTCGCGTTAAACAAGTCAATTTACATAAAAATATTTATTGTCTGTAGTCACCATGGCTTTACTTCGTAATTAAATATCAAAGTAAAGTCATTTATTTATATTTATAGATTTAAATAGAAAAAATAATATTGATTTCCTTACTAATATTAAGCATAAAGTGTTATTTAAAATATAACTATAATCTATATACTTAGTTTATAACTTAAAATTTAATAATATAAAGAATAAGAAAAGAATATTTTATTTAATAAAATATTCGATACAAGATATATATGTAATAATACATTTGTATTACAATAAAGTATTTGTGTTATTTGGTTGTATAATATACTTATTTTAAAACTTATTGTGGTAAAATTTGATTTAATTTAACTTAATATAATTTTAATCCTTACATTTACAGTATTCTTTCAAAAATACATAATACCATTTATTAATATTACATTTTAAATGTGTAAGGAATTAAGAGAATTTGTTCATTTCATGAATCCAATCGTTCTTTATTTTATTTACTTTTAATATATACACAATAATATATATATATATATATATATATATATATATATATAAATAAATATAAAATAGAATTATAATTTGTGATTAAGCTTAAGATAATATTATTTCTGTATACATTTGTACATACAGCAGATAACGTTCAATAGTTCAACAAATTTGCCAATATATGCAAATTTTTTTCTTTTTGTGCGACTAATATTTATATCATGAATATTTACATTTTTTAATATATCCTTTGTAATTAATTGTATATTATTATTATTGCTAATGTTTATAAATTTATATCCTTAGTTTATTCTTGACCAATAAATACTTCAAGCTTGTTTGATATTATTAGTACTATATGACTCGCAAAAGATTAATTTTTTTTATTTGAAAATCAAATTTTTTTATAAACTATAACAGAATATAAAATTTTAAATTACAAGTATTTAATCAAAAATACAAATTATATTATTTACAGTTAAAAATTATTTTAAAATTTTACTATTTATCATTCTGAGTTTTATCAATGTAATTATAAATATAGCTGAAAACAAAAATTTGTGATTAGATTTATAAATGTACAAATTGATTTTTAGATGAATTATATGTATATATAAATATATATTTTTATATAGAGTTACAATTTGATTTGCCATTTGTTATGTACTTAAACTTTCCAAATCTAAAAAATAATTGAGACTGAAAAAATAAATTTTAAACTTTATTAAAGAATACAAAAATAAATCAATTTTAAGACATGTGTTCAGTGTGTAATTTCATAAATAAAATGATTTCTTTTTTTAATTATGAATACTAGGAATGTACGTTCAGAATGAATTAAATAAAATTATGAATATATTTACGTGAAAATAATTTTTATTTTTAATACATTAATAAAAAAAATACACGATCGTAAAAGTAGTTTAATTTATCAATGAAATTATCTATTACTTTTACACAAATTAGACTGTATATTATATAAAATTATAGCACAAATCAGATGTAATAAATAAACAAATATTAATAACCAATGGCATAAATATATATGTATATATACTCTTAGCAAATACGCATTTTTACTATTCTTTTGCGATGACTATTTTTATTGCTCAATATAAGAGGAATAACGTATAAATAAATTAAAATGCAGACGATTGCGAATGAATTTAATTAATAATTATTGATTAAGTTATTTAAAAATATACAACAATTATATTGCAGAACTGTTTTGCAAAAAACTAAAAAATATCTTGGTTAAATTTTAAATGTGTAAGGAATTAAGAGAATTTGTTCATTTCATGAATCCAATCGTTCTTTATTTTATTTACTTTTAATATATACACAATAATATATATATATATATATATATAAATAAAACAATATAAATAACAAAGCGTCATTTGGCATAATATTAATATAAATTCAAATTATTTATTTATTGAAAGATATTAAGAAATTTATATTCAATTAATTTTTTTAAGCTAATATCAACAAAAATAATGCTTCGTTAATTGATAATATTAAAAACTAAAAACAACATTTTTTAAAATAACAAATAACAAATTTTAAATATAAATTTATTTAAATAGACATAAGTATAGTTAATTATTTGTAGTCTATAATTAATATTTTTCATTGATATATACATATAAAGTTGACATATATATGACATACATGTGAAATATGATATTAATTAAGAACTAATATCTCTATTTCAATTCTGTAATTTCCAACAGCTGTCTATAACTTCTGTACTATTTCGTGAGAAAAATAAATAAAAAAATATTATCACTCTTACTAAAAATATTGATGGCAAAATGATATTTGGTAGTAAATCAAACTAACTGATCAAAGTGCGAATACCAAATTTAAAATACTGGAACGATCATGTCACTTCGGACTTTGAGCTCCTGTTGTTCATCAGTCACCTTCACCGATTCAATTGAATTCAAGGATCGGTAGCGGACCGGCAGCATTTATTATATAAGCATACACACTTCAAATTTGTATATAAATTTGTCAATACACATCATTGATCATCAAGTCAATTGATTTAAAAACATTTGTAATGCGCAAAATGTAATTATAAGAATTTATTTTTATTCAATTGTCGTTGATTAAATAAATATTATTTTTTTTTATAATGCATAAAATTTGCGAGTCCTTGGGCAATAGCGCCATCTTTTGATTTTCATACTACTATTTGTAGAATTCATCTTTGATTTCTAACTCGAACTTTGTATACAACAGCTGTGAGCGAATGATCGCTCTTGATCGTCTCAAATAGTTATTTTCGCAGCTGTTTTTTGATGAATATCCGTCACGGGTATTTCTTTACCAAAATTTAAATTTAAACAGATTTCTTCTCATTTGAAGATGGAACATTCTATAAAAAAATTAAATGTTGATGCTACTTCAAATGAAAAACAAGTTGATATAAATAAAGTACATAAACAACAAATACGTCACGTCTTAACCTACGATGTGTTAAGAATTATTTTTCAACATTTAAGTGCGAAGGATCTTCTCAAAGTTTCTCATATATGTAGGCAAGTATAATTTATACATATATTTAAGTTAGAAAATAGTTTATAACTTTAATGATATAGATCCTGGAGAGACGCCGCAAATAATGAAGCAGCCAGTAGAAAAGCACCAGAATGTATATTTAAAAAATTTCAAATAATTGATAAAGAAAATTTAGAAGACTCTTATAATGCTACACTTTTGGGTAATGAATTGAGGGTGAAACCTTGCTTTGGATTAGTCTGTATAAAAATTCAAGAAGATAATGAATGGGTACTAAAAGGTAATTTATTATAAATTTTAATATATTTTGAATTTTTCTCAGTATATAATGAATTTCATATACTAATAGAAAATTATATTTCTTTAATTATTATGTAGTATATTATTAATAAATTATTAAAATTGACAGATTTTATAAAATTATTGTATTTATTATGTAAAATTAAAAATTTTGAGAAATGTTTAATAGAAATATTTTGATATCTTTGATTCTGGAGCATAATTAATTAATGATTTAAAATTTTAAATATGAGAGTATTAAAAATGAATGAAGTTTTACATTGATTATTTATTAATAATATTTGATAATTGTAACTTCTGTTTCAATATTTGGAACAATTTAATTAGTAAAAATTTATACATAAAATTTTTGTATTAATTTGTTTTTTTTTAGTAATAAAATAAATAATAAATATATGTCTAGGTTGTTACTGTAAAAATCTTCCATCAAAATGCAGTACATTTATTCTTGGAGGTTATGACATTACCATAGACGATATTAAAATTGAAAATAAATTTGGAATGGGCGTATGTGCTTTTTTACCAGAGATACCTAAATTAAATCATAAAATATTTCATGTAGATATTAACTCATTTAAAGATGTTTCTAAAATAAATATGAAGTCTCATGCTGAAAAAATTCTTAAGCAATTGTTACCTTCGAAAAATGAAAAATCTAAATGTATTATAATATTGACTAATCAAGATGGTATACATTATACAAAATTTATAATGAAGGGATTGCAGAAAAGGTAAAAATCGTTTATTACAAAAATTGTTATAATAAAATGTTCATAAATTGTTATTTCATTGAATTAAAAAAATTTAATTAAAACATTATTTTCAAGATATACGCCAGGAACTTTTTCCCTTTGGGGTGGAATATGTGTAGATTTGAAACTGTGCAAGAAATTTAATTCAACTCAAATATGTGCACAATCCATCCATTGGACAGCAATAACTTTATCTAGTCCAACATTACAAAGTTGGTCTACAGTTTTACTTTATTCATGTCGCAGTGAATTACTTATACAAGAAAATCTAGAAAATTTAAAAAAAAACATTCATCTTCAAAAGCATTCTTTGGGACTCATGTTTTCTTGTTGTGTACGTATAGATTGGAAGGATATGGAAGTCGCAGTATTTAAAAAAGTATTTCCAAATGTACCTTTGATTGGTCTACATGGTGATGGAGAATATGGTTTAAATACTTTAAGTGAAAGTAAGTTTGAATGTAAAAATGAAATTTACAAACTTGTAATTATTGTAAAAACGTATTATTTGTATTGAATTATTGATAAAGTTTTATTAGAATTATTGGTATAAATTTATAAAGGTTTTATTATTTTTTTCAGAACGCGAAAATCTAATGCATACATATTCAACAATATTTACAATTTTAACATATCAATAAAGTTAGATAATTATGATCAATAATTATGATGAACTTTTGTTCGTGATATGATGTGATATGGGCTGTATGTTGACTGATGCCAATAAGGATTAACATATATTATATCTATAAATAATTTTCTGAATGTAAATTAGATGTAATGCAATTTTAATTATTACAAATTGTTGGATTGATATATTTTTAATTTATTTATTCTTATGTATCTAATTAGATGAAGTGAATTGATTAATCATCGATAAATTAATGATAAGAAATAATACAAATTATATGCATTGGAATTATTAGTCTAATTCAAACATTAATATAAATGGAAAAATTAAATTTATTTTATACAATAAAATTAATTCACACAGGCATGCGCACGCATACACATATATAAGAAGAATTGATATTCAATTAGTTATCAAAACTATATTTAAAAATATTACGAAGAATTAATTTAGACATTGATTATTCGAATTTCATTATTGATATCGATAAATTATAAATGGAAAATTTATATTCACCAAATAATAGTATTAAATAATAAAATGATTTCTTTAGAACAATAAGTGAAAAATATTACCATTAAAAAGTGATGATATTGTGAAATTTTTATTACATAATTTAATGTTGCTAGAGCCATAGGTTTATATATAAACGTAATTTGTACTCATTTTAAGAACGTGAAAAATTGTAATCATACCTGAAACAATTAAAATAATAATTTGTATAATATATACTATATAAAATTAAATTTTGATTATCAGTGCTTTATTAACAGTTTTTAAATTATGAAACCAGTTAAACTAAACATACATATAATATACATAATTCAATAGATGTAATAAATTCTGAATAAGTAGATTCTGAAAAACTTATAATTAAAAGGTTTTAAAAATACAGTAACTGAAAAATTGATCTGTAATTTAAATATTAGTAGTAGTAGTAGTAGTAGTAGGGAAGGTATTTTTAAATTTCGATTGGCTTTATTATTTATGCACTTTTAGTACGTTTAAATATAACTGGTTCTCTTTTTGATGTAATGTTAGAAGGCGTATGGAGAAGAAAGGAACAAAGAGAGTTAACATGATTCTATATCGACACCGGAACAATTTATCCCTATCTTATTATAAAACTAAGGAAACGATTAGTTACGCTTACCAACCTGTACATTGTGCATGTATAATTACATTCTGGTCGCGCTTACATTTAGCAATACATTTGCGTTTTTCTAGATAGCGACAACGTTTTTGATAAAGTATTATAGGGGAGAACTGGGTCATGAAATGTTCGGCCGGAGATTACCGAAAAACCTCCTTATAAGCAGCCGATAAATTTTGATAATGTAGTCGAAGACAAAGGGTTGTTATTGTTACGTTAAGTTTAAAAGTTCTGTTTTGAAAATTCCATTGTATATAATAACGAATAAGGTCATTATCTATTTGATTTCTAAAAAATTCAATAAGGAATTGCTGTTTTATTGCTTATCGAATATTTTATAATAATAAAAAGAGCAAAAAATATTTTAATAATATTTTTATAGAATATCAAATACACTCAGAATAAATGTTTGAATCTTTAGTAATAGTTTTGTAAAAATGTTAATATTAAATTTAAACAATAATTTAAGAAAATATTTTTATAATATGTAAGCATTTTTAAAATGACAAAAAAATAATTTTATTTCTTTGATATATAATAAAACTTAACATTCTTAAAATATATTTTGTTTCATTAATTTTAGTTTATATTCTATTCTAATTTATGACATTTTGTAATTGAACTATATCTCTTATATTTTACAGTGATCAAATGTAAATGATTACAGACTTACAAATTCACCATATTTTTAATGTATTTTAATCTAACGTTATTATATATATATGCCCACGAGAATATTATATAGCTTCAATAAGTATTTTATACTAAAATATAAAATATAGAACGTATAAAAACATAAGGAGATCAGTAAATGAAAATACTCATATAGATATATTATCAAACTACTAAAAATATATTATTTTTATTGTATAAATGCTATAATACATTTTACAAATTTAAGCTTACAAAAAGATTTTTTATTCAGACATAATTTAAGTGCGAATCGCTGAATACACGTAATCTGAGTAAGCAAAATTTGTTATCATTATTGTCAACAACAATTGTATTTAGTTTCTAAACTTCATTATTTTTGCAACGGAATTTTTTAATCAGCTAAATAAAAGACAAATAAAACAAACATGTTTGGTCTATACATCGGTGTATTGTTTCGATTTCTGTGGCTAAGCTGGGGCGTAAGTGCAGTTTGGGATAGTGGTTTGAGGGAAAAATATGATGGATATGGTGAAGATTGGATATTTATGCCGGATGGTAAGGGACAACCTCAAGTCGCAGTAATTAAGGTTTCTGATCCGGAGGGACGTGGCATTCTTGATGAAACCATAGACTTCATTTTGTACACGCGGTATGCCAAAATTTTATTATTGATTACAGGACAATGATTTTTGTTGTAGAATCATTTTCATTTTAACACAAATCATTTTTCATGAATCATTAGACAAATTAGAAGAACATAAATCAAAACTTAAAATTGTATTTAACAGAGTCTTCGTTGGACTCTAGAACAATTTTTAAATACAACTACTAAATACAAATGTATTACTTTATTTATAATAATATAAACAATATAATAAAAAATAGTTCTTTTATTATTAAAATTGAATGTTTGTGTATAATACAGAAATTGTAATATTGATTAAAATTTATGAAACAAAAGAAAAAATTATTAACGAATTTTTATATTGTGATAGATTTTTTACTATTATGAACTTATGATTATTTCTACATATAATTTTTGTGACGAAATTAATATATAAAATAAATTTATATGAAAAAATATAATTGACAAACTTTACAGTGTATTAAATTTGAAATATTTATAATATATGTATAGACTTTAAAATACCTAATCTTTTTACATTTACCTTTATGTTTACACATATACAATATAAAGTATAACTTTTGCACATTGTGTACATTCTTTCTAAATGTAACTAATATATATTTTGATAATCAATAACAAATAGTTATTGTATTTATTTTTTAAAAATAATTTGTATCAAAAATGTATTTTCATTCTTCGTTTCATAATAATTAAAATTTCTGAATATTAAAAATTAATTTTTTACAAGCATATTATTACAGTTTATATTTTTCTAGAAGCACTTTATTATTTCTATATACAATTTTTCTAAAATAATAAAGTAATTGCAAATTTATTTGATAACTTCATTTATTCTATAATCTTAACATATTCTCTTAAGTTTATATATTATCCGATTATTTATAATTAAAACTTTTTAAATAATATAGACTAATTTTGAATTGTTTAAATTACTTTATAAATTCAATAGAAATTAAAATAATTCAAATAATATTCATTAAGTACCTGATTGAATCAAATGTTTAAATTAATTTAGTGATTATTAATTAGTAATTATAATACGTGACTTTGAAATATACTTATAATTTTCATGAATTATTTGCATATGAATAAGTACTGAATAAAATGTAATATTAAAAGTATTACAATAAATTTAATTAAAAACTTAATATTTTTGCATCGTAGATGATATTTATGAATAAATAGAGCAAATAAGTTTTCAATTTTACTTATTTTTAATAGATTTAATCCCAACGAAGGCCTTCATTTATTCACTAATGATACAAATGCATTAAAGAAGTCACATTTTTCTTCTTCGAAGCCTACAAAATTTGTTACTCATGGATGGAAATCTAATGCTTTCAGCGAAAGTGTTATAAATTTAAAGAAAGGTAGGTTTGTAATAAGGAATGTAAGTATAATATATGTATTTTATAATATATATATATATATATATATATATATATATATATATATATTATAATGCATTTTATTTATTTGTAGTAGAATTATTGTCCTCGCTTTTATAATATAACACTTGTATAAATAGATTCTCAATTAGCTAGTTGCTTTTTCCTTGCTATATAATATAACATACTAAAATTTAGATATTAACAAACGCTAATTTTTAATGTTCTTAATAATTTCGTTGCTTTTATTCATATATTAATTTATAAATTTTCTAAGAAATCGTTATAATTTTCGAAAGTAAATGATAAACTATATGTCGTGATGAAATGTAACTAAACTTCGTTTTATTATCTTTATAAATGCTAAAAAATGTACGTTTATATTGCAGGCTCTTCTTGTATTTTGTTTCTAACATACAACCGATTTTTTTTTAAGAAGAAATTTTTATAAATTTAAACGAATTAAGATAATAACTAGCAATAACGGAATATGTAATTTCATAGTTTATTGCAAACATTATTAAAAAAAAACATGCAAAATAGTAGTGAAATGTTAGAAAAATAACAATTGCGCGCATGATTAATGAAAATAAGCAATTATTAATAGAAATTTTTTTTGAGAATTTCAATCGCATTGCAGAATACTTGAAGCATGGCGATTACAATGTTTTACTTGTGAATTGGGAGCCCATGGCTGCAAGTACGTTCTACCTTGGTCCCATGCGCAATACTTATAAAGTCGGCAGGAAGACAGCAGAATTCATCGATTTTCTTGTTCAATCTACTGGTTTGGTCACTGATAGTATCCACTTTATCGGTTAGTAAAATAATATAAAATATTAAGTTTATGTGGCTATTCAATGGCCGAGGATAGAAATATTTTTCATTTCCAGATTTATTTGAGTTTGGATTTATAGGTCTAGACGGAAAGGCACTGATCAAATAATTTCCATTTTAAATTGCACATTTAGAAATTTGACTAGTGAGATTTTAAAATAAACGCTACGATCAAATGATATTTGGTTGAATTAAATTTTTTATTTTAAATATTTTAGCCTATTAAAGTACAAAAGAATAAACATAAACGAAGCATATAAGAATGAGAAATTTCAAACGATAGCATTTTATATATTTTTAAAGTGTTGAGATAGAATCAAGGAGCTATAAAATTAGTCTTAAATAATGTATTCATATGTTGTATTAATATATGTTGCATATTTTGTATTGCTAAAATATGTAAAAATCATATATAAAAATGAATTTACATAATAAAAGTAAGTATTTGACTTAAAGTTAATTTTTTAAACTATTTTATCTTAAATTATTATTTATTTTTAAATTATTTAAAATTTTTGTTTAAGTAATTCACCATATTTTAAATAAAATTTTCCTAAAATTAATTACCATTTTTTAAAGAATGAGTAAATTTGATGTATTTTAGAAGTATACTAGTTTCTTATATATATTTCATTATGATTCAACGATATTTAGCATATATTTTCTAATTTCACTATGCTTTGTGTTGTTTCGAATTGCCAAACTTTTTATTTATTAGAAATACTACATAATATATTTTCATCATGTCATATTTTTATCTGTTTCTATTATATATTCGATTTTCAACTTATAATTTATCTATAAGTCTTTATTAAATCTGTAAATTCGAATAGTTAATTTTTGGTAGTATTTTGTTCGTCTTTTATGATTATAAAAATAAATCAATGAAATCAAGTAAAATGAAAAATGAGTATAGCGATGATAATGAACGAATAATGACACTTGACATTTTTAAAAGGTCACTCATTGGGAGCACATGTTGCGGGTAATACTGGCGAGCATTTAAAGTCTGGCAAGCTCGGAAGAATAACTGGCTTGGATCCGGCACTTCCTGGTTTTCATTTATTAACCGTAGACAACGGTCGACTAGATTTGACTGACGCGTTATTCATTGATATTATACATTCGTGTGGAGGTGTTCTCGGATATATGCAACCACTTGGTCACGTAGATTTCTATCCTAATGCAGGTGTTGCAGTGCAACCTGGATGTTGCTGCGTACCCGAATTAATTGGTATACTATTCGCTTAAAAATTCAACTTCCTTAAGGCGACGGAATTCAAGAAATACATTTTTAACAAACTTTGATCATTTATCTTTTAAAATCTGGTTAAACGAAAATCCAATATTGCTATTGATAGAAAAATGTATTTTAAAAATGAATTGTCAATTATATTTAGTTCTAAGTTAAGCTTAGACATTATATTGCTAATAATTAAATTTATGAGGTTTCAAAATAATTAACTTTCAAATTCAAGGTTTTATGTACATAATTTTTTATCTGTTGTAATCTTTACACTATTCAGAGAAAATTAATTTTCTTTTAATATTTAGTTTAGAAGCATAACATTACTTCTTTACATATTAGTTTAAAGTATTAGATTAATTAAATATATAGATTTTATTTATGAAAGAGTTTGATGAAAAATATTAAATTTTTCAGAGGCTTGTAGTCATGGAAGATCATATAAATATTTTACTGAAAGCATTAACTCAATAATAGGTTTTAGGGCGAAACAATGTGAAAATTGGGACAAATATGTGAAAGGTGAGTGTAATAATCAGCACACAGCATTTTTAGGAGAGCACGTTGATAAGTCAGCAATAGGATCATATTTCTTGAAAACAAAATCTGAGCCACCATATGCTTATAATAATGAAATAGATGACAATAATGTTTGAGGAATTATAAAAGAGAATGAAAAAGCTAAGTTTTACATATTATACAAATTTTTTATATTCTCGTTTCTAGTAAAAACAACTTCAGTTAATTTGAAACAATGACTTCAATAAATAATTACATATGTTACAGTTCGAGGTATAATAAACAATCTATGTCCCACAAAATGTGACCAGTTGCATTTCAGTTTATGTATCATACTTTTCAAAAACTTTAGAACAAATTTCTATTCCACTTTTTTATTTTATCTCGTATCGTTCCTTATTGATTAAATAGTATCTGACAAATCCGGGTATGAACTCATTGAGTTCAATAGAGTTATATTGGCTTGTATAACAGCGTTGTCACATATTTTTTGCGATAACGATGGGTCGCTGAAAGTACCATAACACTATCTTTGATACTTAATGCATACAGATGATTTAACATTACGTGATTAGGTTCAGGTAAAAGTGTTGGCTCGCACTATAAAAACAATAAAGAATTAATAATTTTAATAACTTTCAATGTCAATAAAAATAAGTTGTAATGGTATCTAATATATACATATGTTAACCATGTGTTAACCAATAATAAAGAACATGTTTATATCTTCATTTACATTAAATATCTAAAGAGATATCAAAATAAAAAATTGATATTTACTTTTATAATTGTTATTTAGTTATGTTAAGTTATATTGTATTTCTTTATTTAATTGTGCATATTTTCAATTCTATATAAATTATATTTTATATTAATTATAATTTTCAATAAAGTAACTATCATTATGCAGAACATAATTATATTGTAAAAATATTATTTGAAAAAATTCACTTTAAAATTATTTATTTATTTGATAAATCATTTTTCTAATGTATAAGTCAGGTTATTAAATATTTTTTACATGTCTTACCGATAAGGGTGTGTCTTTATTAAGAATAACTTGAAGCAAATGTGGTGGCAGAATTGGAGGTCCAGGAACTTTTTCCCAAGGTTTATATTGTGGTATATCTTGTCCGTACTCTGTTTGAGCGCTACTTATAATGCCTTCGCTATCTTTCGCTAATGCTTGGAAGACTTCAAAGTCTGATTTTTTAACAGATACACAATTATTTTTTGATCCCATTCCATTATCAACAATTTCCTAAAATATTAATAAATAAAATTGTATGTATTATTAATCTCTCTTTTTTTAAATATCTATATAAATGCATCTTATCATTAATATATTCATACTTGGTATTATATTTATATATTACAATTAATTTAAATATTATTCAATTGTGATGAGTATTTAAAAATCATATAATCTAAATTTAAATTAGTTTTGTCATTGATGATTATATGTCATTGATAATCATGATCAATGCTCATCGATTATAAGTTAATATAAATACTATGCATTTATAGTAAAATCTATACTTACAAGACCAGGATCATGCCTCCACTCTCCATCAACAAAAAATTTGTACTGGTGCTCACCTTCTGGTAAATCTATAATTGTAACAAAATCTCCATGGCTTTTTACCATAGGCAATGTCTTCCAATCATTGAACGTACCACTAATGTAGACTTGTTTACCACCACCTTCCCATTTGAATACGGTAGGTAAAACTTTTCTATCAGATAGCTTGGCTGTTGTTCCTTCAGAAACTGTATTAGAGCGAGGCCGAGTAGTAGGAAAATTATGGCTTTCCTTAACATCTTTCTTTAAAACATTACAAGTTTGCAATATATAAAAGTTTGTAACTATGTTGTTTATTAGGCACATCTAAATAAGATTTATGAAAATGAATACTAATATATAAGGTTAGAGTGTATGCAAAGAAAGGCTTTCCATAAAATTTTCCAATACCTAATTTTCAATGTTTCTTTTTTTTACATTAAAATTTGATTTGTTATATTCATTAAGATTTGTTCATTATAAATATAAAATTTTAAATTAAAAATTGAATTTATTAAGAGTGAGCATGAAAATTCAAACAAATGTAATACTAACCTAAATGGTATTGAAAATTCTTTTGTAGTTAAATTTTTTAAATCACAACTTACTCAAAACTTTTAAGTATCACACCATTTCCCTTACAAATACTTTTATTTTACTTCACTTAATTACATTTTTTACTGAATATATCGATTAATATTTTATAACAATATCAATAACAAACAAGATTGAGAACTACTATATAGGATATTATATTTTATAGAATAATTTGATTACTAAAGCAAATCATGATTGTTTAGAATAAAAATGTTCTAATATCAATAAATGAAATACCTTTGTAAAAAATGTCTCTTCATCATCTTGAGAAGATTGAAAGACAGTTTTATGACTAGGTTTCTTATCAAATATAAATGCTTGATCGTCTTTTCCTGGTGATTGTGGATGATGCTCTTTGTTATGCCTGTGATGTACTTCACGTTGAACATTGCTACCATGATGACTGACAGTCTGACTACTGCCTGCGTTACCCATCCTCACACTTTACACTAAGCATGTAAAAGAGCTTGCCTTAGTCAGAACGATAAAATTTTATTTTAATCTGAAGATTTTGTATACAAAATGTATGTATAATGAAAATGATATATAATTAACAACACAAAAGTCACCTTAACTATTTCGTGCACTCATTGATTATTAACCATTTAAGATGACATAACTCGTACAGTCTATGTATGTCTGTCAAAGAAAAAAAAAAGTACTTTCCAGGCAGGTAGTTTTGGACTGCCATGAAATATCAGCTGATTGCCTTCGTACTAATTCAGACACTTTTCGTTACTTTTATTATATAAAAGATGGCCACTCCTATATGCATTTAAACTAAGCCCCCACTATCTTGCTTGCTTATGAACTTCAATTATTCTTTGTGATTATTAAATAATAATATTAAGTTAAAAAATAATATTATGTTAAAAGTTATAAAAACTCTCTTATTGTTGTTAAATTGCAGTATTTGTAAACTGCTTTGATATATTCCTGTAATACTTTGCTATTTTTGAATTTTTGTATGTCAAAAAATAGGTAATATGGTAAAGAAATAAAGTTTCTTTATCGACGAGCAGTATGACAAATATTTATCATTTAATGATTTTTTGAAAACTATATTACCTGAAATAGATAAATATATTTGAAATTATCAATAAATGTTAAATGAGTGCTTTTTAATATTAAATACACGTACATTAATTCAGAAATTAAATTTATTATATACAATACAATTATATCAAATAAAATATTTAAAAATTAAGAATATTTGACATTAGATACACAATGTAGGTATCTAAAAATCCAATTCTTTATTTTGAGTTTGTTATAAGTACAATAAAATGAATATTATATAATTAATATCCTTTAACTTGGTGAAATTTAATTTTTTTTAAATCTGCTCTAAATATATAATTTAATTTACTGCTATTTCAAATACAAGTACAAGTCGTAGAAGATGAAATGAAAATAATAAATTTATTTCAAAATATTTATCAAAATTAATTTCATAATCATTAATTGTATCGTATTATATAATATAATAATCATAATTATTTTTTCTAACATTTCAAATCTGAAATGATATATTTAAAATTTGTTTAACCTTCCTATTTATCATGAAACTATAAGAATATTAAATGAGAACATACCAATTAACATTTCCTAATATTGTTTATGATTAAAAAGTGTATAGAATTTTTCTCAATATGTATTTTTATTTTAACTTCAGAGTCTGTCAAAATTAACTTTCAATTGAAACTTTAAAAAGTTCAATTTATTTAGATCTGTATTGTACTAATAGAGCAAATTTCTAAATTAATTTTTGATAATACAATAATAGTTTTGTTTATTTCTTAGTGTTATTATTATAAGCTCTTAATAGTATTGTTAAAAAGATAAGTAATGGGTAAATTCTTGATTCAAGTTTTAAATATTGTTCATTTTCTAAAATAAAATAAATATAAATTTTTTCTAAATTTTGTATTTAATTCTTGGATTTACTAATTTTTTAAGTTTTTTTATTAGAATAAAAAATTATCGAATTTATGAAGAAATTGCACGAAAGTTAATAATTTATCAAGCTTGTAATAATGTATTTTTTGGCAAATAAGTGAAAAAATAGAGTACATATAGTTAGAATGTGGTTATAATAATACAATATAGTTATATAGTTATACTTATTAAGAAAGCTGTTTACTTTGATTTTAGAAGTGTTACTAAATAACAAATATTCCTTCAAAGATAAAAAAGACAAATAATTCTTTTATTAACAAAATAATTTGAAATTTTAAATACTTTTTCCTCTTCGAATAATTTCAAATAATTATTATAAGCTGTCAGTAAAAACGTGAAACTTATGTAAAATATATTTTCGAAATTTTACAAGAGGAGTAAATCTATTCTTTTATTTAGTTATAGTTAATTTTCATTTCTGTGTTTTATTTGAATCAGAATAAAATAGCGAAGCTGCAAACATGATAATGTTTTACAGTTGACTAAGATTTTGTATCAATATTCATAAAGTTATATAATTAAAGTTATATAATGTGTTTGCTGACTTTTGTCATATGCGTCAAAAACTCTGCATATATGCAAGTTAGAGTATAAAGAAATTTGAAACAATGAGATTGGTGGAAATATTTACTTAATTACTAATTTCTTGAAACACTAGGAGTCATAAAGGGTCGAAAAATCAGTTGCGTGATTAGCTGAGAATGAAATTTTGATCGATTTGGACATTGGACAAGTCGTGCGTTGCGTACCCGCTGGAAAGTCAGTAGCGAGCGTCAAACAATCAAAAGCAATTTATGCAAATTGTAGGGAGAATCCTTTTTACAAAAGCCATTTACCGGTGAAAACAGACGCAGCGAGAAAAATGAAAGGAGCATCCAGTCTGGGTAGAAATAAAATTCTTTTTACAAAAGCCATTTACCGGTGAAAACAGACGCAGCGAGAAAAATGAAAGGAGCATCCAGTCTGGGTAGAAATAATTACAGCGCTCAAAATCAAGCTAGATTGGAAAAAAGTTTTGTAAGGTTCTATTCTTCGGGTGGATCGTAAAAGGTTCGCAAAAGATGATCAATAACCGTCAATATGCAGTGTTCCTTGCGTGGCTTTAATAAGAGTATAAGCCCGGAGGTTCCAGAGCCCAGTTTTACGACTCTGTGACACAGGACATCACTTCGCCTTCCACTGCCGCCTCTTTATTACCAGCCATCTTCGCATTTTTCCTGCTTGTGAGTCGCGTGTTGGCAAATTTATTATGTATAAAGTCGAACGAGCCTGATTCCCACCATGGTTCCTTTTTTCTCTATTCTTTCTTCTTACCATCCATCTGAGTCCTTTTCTTCACCTTTTTTACCGCCAGCCCGATTCAACACACTCACCATATTATCCTGAGAAATCGGATATTACTATATGTATCGATTTTTTTTCACTTTTACTTCAAATAAAGCATAAAATGATGTGATTTATTAAAAAAGAGGAATAGCTTCCGCGACAGATGCATTTTCCTATCTTAATCATAAAATCTTGAAGTGTTTTTATTTTCTAAAGTAAATTTTGCATAAATTTTATTGTAAAACATTTCTTTGCAAACCTTCGGCATTTAGAGATGGATATTATCTAACATTTTATTTAAATGATAAACTAAACAATCTTACCAATTTTAGGTAAATCTAGTTTTTAAATATTTAAAATCGGGACAAGAATGCGTTTTTTTCGAGTTCTTATTTTATAGTGACGGAACTCTATTTGGAATAAGAAACAATGGATTGTAATAAAAAAAAAAAACTAATTTAGAGATTGGTACTTTTAAGCATTTGTTATGTGCTTGTCTCTTAATTACACTATTTTATAATTTTTCCTACACCATTACTGAATAGAATCGACCATTTATTTTGCAACTTCATGTAAATACATTTCTTTTAATCTTGACACATATTAATACAGAAATAATAAATAATAAAAAATTTTATTTTATATGTTTTTATAAAATTACTTTTCCTATAATTTATTAATGATCTTTGGTGAACCGGGAAAACATGATTATTCAATACTAAATCCAATAATATATTTTATAAAAATTTGTTGCATTATATTTTCATATGGACTTCAAAGTCTCTGATTTTATTTTGGTATTTTTTTTCTTTTTTCTAGTAAAATAAAAAAAATTGATCCCCATTACTATTTGCCAATTTTATTTTGAACGAGTGAATTTTTACTTTAAAGGTTAGTAAATCTAAAATGCTTTATTTTCTAATCCAAGTTACTGTTTAATACGTTATATTATTTTAAATATATATCTTTGATCAAGAAAAATAATTAAAAGACGCTGTTGATGCGATAAAGGAAATGCCATGTAGGTAAACCTATTGTGAAATGTATTTCAATTAAAATTTTAACTCAGTCTACTAGCAAACTTCAGTAATATTGAATTTACTTTTCCGTAAACCTTTAACATCGAATTTCTTCTTTACGATACGTATGCTTCTTACATTTCATGTAGATAATGAAAACTTCTTGTTTTTACTTCAATAGGTGACTGAATACTCAGTATGAACCATATCTAAAAAAAACATACTACAGAAGTTACTCTGAAAAAATTTAACATGAAAATTTTCATAGCATTTGAAAAATTTAAAAAAAATATTTGATTATAAAAAATTTAAAAAAATATTGTTGTTTATATATTATTTAGTATTTTTCTTTTAAAATAGAGTTTAAAATACAAAAATGTTTATATTTATGGTAATAAATCTTATGTCAAGAATAAATAAATAAATAATTTAAAAAAATTGAATATTTTTCTTATGAGAGAAAATTTTAAATTAGTTTGAAATAGTCGTTAAGGAAAATTATATTCTTTTTTAAACTGCATAATATATATATAAACAGTTTTAATCACGTGTATAGCAATTAATTTAAGACTCGATTTAACACTTTACATGTAAAATAATGCTTTTTAGATAAAAAAAATTCAAATTCAGTGATAGTTATAGTATTTACTTTGAATTATATTAGAGTTTAGACATAATTTTAGGAGAAATGGTCTTAACACTTTTGTTTAACGATAGATATTCGTTTCATTGTACTTGCTTATCGAGAAAAGGTTAATATTTAACAAAATTTTTATCTTCGATATTGTATACTTGGTATAAGGTCAAATTATTTGTTGGTTGATATTCCAATCGATTATTAAATGGATTCGCTATTTACTGATATTGATTAGATAACTATAAAAGGTATTTATGTATTTGTATTACCAACATCTGTTATTTAATTTTATAACTCATAGATTAAACATTTAGTTATTATTATATTTTTCTTTTTATTATTTTATTATTTTTATAAGAATGTATTTAAAAAATTATAATTAACATTAAAAATTTATTCTACGTTATGAAATGATGTATTCATTTAAGACGGTAATAATGTATATGGCAGTATATGGTAATAATCGTTTTCTATGTAAGATATACGATTATTTATAATTTTATCAATTAGTTTTACTTATATGGTGAACGAATAGATGCAGAACTATTTAATATTAATTGCATATAAAAACTTTGTATTTTTCATGCTAATTTAAAAATTTTGTCTTCTATTCCTCTCTTATGTAACAATTTATTAAGCTTATTATAAAGCGCGATTGATTAATTCAATAATTAAAGTATATTTTTTATAATAAATTTACAATATTATAATTATACAATATACAATACAAAATAATAAAAATTTACAATAAATAAAATAAATTTCAAAAAATAAGATAACCTAGAATGTTAAAATAATTATGTAAATGCGTCTATTTATTCTTATTACG